CCAAAACATAATTATTAATTATGGAGAAAGGGTAAGAATATGTGTTTATTAAGTGTATCATTAAGTGTTTTTTTTCCTCATCACTGTAAATATTACTTTTTTCTGTTTATTTTTTCACTTGTTTGTGTAATTTCTCTTTTTTTATTTACATGTTAAAAGTGGTTTACAAACTATACCCATGCACCTTTTCACTCCCCATCTAATCCTGTCCATATGTCCACCTTCAGAATAAAGACGGGTTCTACACTGGTTTCATCAAGGTCCACTTTCAGTTGCTTCGGCCGATCTCCCTCCCTCCTCCTCAGAGCCTGTGCTCGACACAAGACGGAGATCAGCAGGACAGGCGGATGAAACGGCGGACATCTTTCTACCTCCCCAAAGATACTGCAAAGCACCTGCACATAAGCTCACAAACACGGGTACGGGAAGTCATTGAGGCACTGCTCAACAAGTTCACTGTGGTGGACAACCCGGCCAAGTTTGCCCTGTTTGAACGCACTGAAAGACAAGGTCAAGGTAGTGTTCTTGATATTGTGTGTTAAAGTAAAACAGAACTGTGTTATCAAGTATAGCATTTTTATTTTTTTATTCCCTTTCTACTTAGTGTACACGCGCAAAATGTCTGACGATGTCTGTCCACTCTACCTACGCCTGTGTGCTGGACCCAGTGAGAAAGTCCTGAGTCTGGTTTTGAAAGAAAATGACACTGGGGATGTCAATGTAAGTTTCCATTTAGTCATATGAGAAGTCTTCATTATATCCTGACAGTTAACGTGTGATACGTAAAAGTGCTTTGAACTTACCCTCTTCCACAGTGGGATGCGTTCAGCTTTCCTGAGCTGTGCAACTTTTTGCGGATCCTGAAACGAGAAGAAGAGGAGCATGTCCGGCAGATTGTGAAGCGTTACACTCTTGCGAGAGAAAGGACGAAGCAGGCGATGGCGAGGATTAATACACCTGCTTGACTCTGAGAGAAAAAGAGCCTTCTGCTGCCATCATGGATCAGTATCACTGATAAATACGAATATTTCAAGCAATGGAAAAGTGAGAAGACCTGACAATGACACTGTGTAGAAAAAGGGTTGTTTTAGAAGAAGGGATACTGCTGTTACATTTAGAGAGAACCTGAAGACACTGCCACTGAGTGTGTGAGTTTAACCACTATTGTGAACTGGCAAAAAACATTTAAGATCACCACAAACTATCCATTGCAGTTAATCCTTGAAAAACTCTTGGTTAGATTATCTATAGTGGTGTTAAGAAATATTTTGCATTTATATTTTTATGTTACATTTAGTTTCCTTTTTTGAGACTCTTTTTTAAAGTTTGGCACTTTATTAAACCTGTGAAATGGATCTGAATAAGTTAAAACTTAAAATTCTAATATTCAAAGAAACTGATGATAGTAAATAATGGGTCATTTAATGCTGTTGTTGCAGCGATTTTAAATTTGACACAAAGTAAGAGGTTTGATCAAGGTTTGGTGTGAAAAAACTGTTTTTTTTGACAAAAAGTAAATGGACTCAAACAGACAAGGAATATTAACCATCTTTTCCGATTTTCTAGGAATGTAATAACACTGTGCACTCTTCAGAGCAGGGTTTCCACAAGGATTTGGAACCTGGCTGCAGTAATTGACTCTCAGTTGGCCACAGATTCAGTGTGATCAGGCTCTGGTGTTGGAAGTTAAGGCCTGGTTTACAGTGTTTGTTCAAACTCATCCTAAAGGTGTTAAAACTAAGCTGAAGCTGAATATGGACTAAGCTTCGTGCAGGCTGTTGGTATGTGGAAGCAAGTTATTGTCTCTAAAGCCATTGCATGTTGCAGCATTAAGAGTTTCATTATTTGCAACATAGTGCTAAACCCAAACTATGAATAACAGCCCCAGGTAGATAACAGTGTTTGCTGGCCACACAATTTTAATAATGTAAATAATAATAAGAACATCATAATAACTTAATATATATATAACTAGCTGCTACAAAGTTACAAAGAGGACAAATAAAAAAAGACTACTGTGAGTTTGGCTTTGTCTATTTCTTGAAAATACCTTCTTACACAGAG